ATCTTGGAGCATCAGATACCGGACGCCCCCACGTTGGAAGAGTTCGAGTGCCTGCTCGGAGAATCGCCCACCAATTATCCCAAGGGCGAGGCTGTCGAGGATATAGAGAGCGAGTTGCATTCCGCCGCTATCGATACAGATGTTTATGAAAAGCAGGCCGCCGAGAGGGCGGCCCATGAGAGGAAGTACAGTCAGCAGGTTGAAGCCACAGACGAGGGGCATGAATTGACAGTACGGCACTTAATATTTATTGATATTCGTAGAGAGTACTTCTGAAGACGAGATTATATAAAATATTTTTCAGGTGCTGTTGTTAGCTGAAGACTCTCACGATGAGATCGACGCCGTCCGACCTTGCCCGGTGTCCGATAGCACTTTGGATGACGAGATAGATGAGGTGGAAGCAGGCGTTTCCACAACTCAGCTGATAGACGTATCGACTGTCCCGGAGGAAACCAGTCAAACGGTCCGAGAGTCCGAGGATGTGATTGAGGTGAAGACTCCGTGTCAGAGGAGCCTGTCGAAGGAGGCGGAAGTTGCAGAAGTTAAAAAAGATACGGCGAGCGCGTTCAAGGATGTCAAACCGTTCACGGAGCAGCAGCTGGCGTCCTTGTATCACAATCAGGAGCTGATGTTGGTAGATGCTTTTGTGGCAGAGTTTACGGAGACGCAGCTGAGGTGCGCGCCGCTGAGGCAGCAACACAGGCTGCACGAGCTGCTGATGTGCTATCTCAGGGTGCGAAATCACCTGATCGCAAACTCATATGAATTGGAGCGTTTGAAGAAAAGCTGCCGGGAGACGCAGAAGCTGATTTGGTCCCTGAAGACGATGTCGGAGATAGAGAACGGCGAGTGCCAGGATGGCAACCCCGTCACTGCCACCCACGAATATATGGTCGCCCTTTTCAATCAGCAAGCCCTGGTGACGCTCTCCAGGACGCTGTCGGCCATCAAGGACACCCTGCACGATAGCCAGGCGTTGTATTGCTACGAAGCGGAGTCGTTGCGCCTGCAGATCGAGCATTACGTGCAAAGAGTCACTAGGAGCTTCAACGTGAGTTCTATCAAAACTGTCATTGGAATGTCAGCTACCTGGAAATTCATTTCTTTGAAGTTGAAATAATTGCGCTCAAACTGATTCAAACCAAATTAAAGAAAATTGGGCTGAGCAACATGTGCAGGGAGATTCAATAATCTTATAATCTACGCTTCACTCTGATTCTTCGCGCAGCTGAAAACTTATTTAAATCGTTTTTCTGTTTTCAGGAATTTGCCAATCTCTCGCAAACTGCCCCAGCAAATCTTTTACCAGAGCAGTCGCCATCCCAAACAGCTCCGCAGCTGGTCGAGCTTAGGATGTGCGTAACCGTTCTGTTCAACTTCCAGCGCCGAATTCTCAAGGACGGCAAATTCGTCACGGACACCCGAGAGTGGCTGTCGAAGCTGGTGGCGGTGCTGTTGAGGGTCGCCACCTGGCAGGATCATTTGTTTCTATTGAACCATATACTGCGATGCCCCGGCGGCGTGATGAACTGGGCCAAATCCTTCGTACAAGTGCCAGTTCCCCCGAAAGTCTCGGGATTGACTTCCTCACCATTTAACGATCCATACCTCGATCACATGATTGCCACTTTCGCAGTGATCCTGCTGCCGATCAAGGATCGAGACAAGTTCTTGGAGCAGGTAGGTGGAGGAGGTTGTTCGAAGAAAAATCGATAGGATTCTTTAACTTCTTAAATTGTTCTCACATTCTCGGTTGAATTTGCTACGCAGGTGCAAGTGTCCTTGCAGGACACCACAGGCAGTCCAGGGGATACAGTGTGGGTTATGCTGGACGAAGAGGGCGAAGAGGACGAGGATATCGCCAATGCCGGCGCCAATCTCTCTGAGAGCGACCTGATTTCTCTTCTTCATCAGATTCCGCTGGACAGGCTGTTCGAGCAAGTGCTGTTTGTCCAACGCCAGAACGACAAGTACGAGCAGGAGGAGAAGGCCATCACGGACCATCACATGTTGCGTCTCTTCGCCTTCTACAGCGTGCTCATTAGACTTCTGAAGCAAGGTCTAAAGTCTTACGACTCGCCAAGATATAGGCAATTAGCGAAGAGGCTTAGCGCGTTGATCAGAGACGTTGTTCAGTACGCCAGCGATCAGTGGGAGGCTTTCGACAAGAGCCAAGTATGTAAAATTAGAGTCCGCGGATTTCGAAAATTCTACAAATGAATATTAAGTTAAGCCGTCGAGGGCGTATACTTCTCTCTTTTACCAATTTTGTTTCAGAATTTAAATGAATAATGTATGGTTTTTTCCACAACTTTCTAATTTTCGATGTTGCATATCTCGGTTTAAAAGCAATATTCAATTTCATTCAGATAACCGACGAGTCAATGTTGCTGAAGCTGCAGACTGAATACGATTGTTTCTTCCTGAGAGCGATCCTCTGCATATTCTCGTCACGGCGTCTAGGTGCCTGGCAGTATCTCGCCGCGATACCATACCATATTATATCACCCACTACTCTGTGGCACATCTTCTATATCCTACACACGGACTCCACATCTAGTGACATAGCACCGTCAGACATGTCAGTCTCAGGTAAAACAGTAATATTGTGAAGTACTTTGTACAATTTTCGTAATCTTTTTGGAAAAGTAGATTATTAACAATAATTCGATATCGTAGACTGGGAAACAGAGCTGAGTTATCCTGGGCTTCATAAACAATTCGAGGAGAAGCTAGGCAACATGCCCGGCGACGAGTCCTACTTCCTACTAACAACCTTTGCTAACATGGCCATGGCTAGAGGGAATAAGGACTACGATTTTGTGAGAACAACTACGATTGATCTATTTCAAGTATGTCAAAGTACATATTTAAGTGTAATTTAAATGTCAGATAATTTGCTGTGATAACAATGAGACATTCTATTATACATATGAGTAAGGAAACTTGTAACAATTCATGGCTTACAAATATTTCTGGTTTATTGTAAATTCAACTTTTAATCTTTAAAATTCATCTGTTAAACTTTTGAATGAATTGAATTACAGATTGGATTTCTCAGCGAGAAAACTCAAGAGTCCTGCTCGAAGGACGCGAGGTCACTTTTGTCAAACTTGACAAGCAAATACCCTACTCTTTTGTCCGATATCCTGCAAAAGTTAAGGGACAATTTTGTATCGGTTGGAAAGGTATAACAATTTTGGTTTCATATTATTACGATCTCGTAACTACCCAGTATTTTCTAAATCCTCTTTCAAAGTCCTGTACAATTTTCTCATGTGTTGTTGCTAAATAACTTTATTATATAGAAACGATTTTATTGATATCTCTTAAAAAATTACTTGCCAGAAGTAATATACATAATTATAAAAAATATCTGCAAATAATATTTGTGATAATAATAGACTTATTAAATTAGATTTCCAGATAATGTATATATATTATAATCTTTTCAATGATTTTAGCTGAGTTTGTATTTGTTCACGGAGTTGAAGATAGGAACGTGGGTACCGCAGCAGGAGGACATGGCAATTCTGTCCACCTGGTTGCATCAGCATCCTTTAACTTCATCCGAAAGCCATCTGGCTCGACTGGTTCTTTCACATTTAAATTGGGGCCTTGACACGTGAGTTACTTCGATATTTCTAACATTTTTCGGAAATGCAAGTCTCGAAAAGGATAATAAGAATGTAAAAATATCCCATCATATTATACATAATTTTAAGTTTCTCGAATCTATTTTTTTTTTCTTTATCAATATTTGATCTGATCAAATCCTAGCACACAATTAAATTAAATGTATCTTTTCTGTTTTCTATTTTCAATTACAATTATCAGAATTATAAATCCAACATTAATATATGATCAATCTTTCCTTTACAGAAATGACAATCTGTATCTTCCGATCAATCTGCATCGACAAGTGGCATTGCTGATTGTCGAACTTACAATGAAACATGTGCCCGACACCCCGGTACAGACGGCTTCGTTGTTAGCTGAAAGCATGAAACAAGTAAGTTCTTAAAAAAGAAAGATTGGAGCAGAATTAATTAAAAGGCCACCTTTATTTAAATGTTATTAATTTATATATCAAAATATATGTATTATTAATTAGTTTTCTATATTAGTTACATATTAATATTTTAGAAATTAAAAGCTACTGTATCACCATGTCGTTAACAAACCTGTTTATTAATCATTATTATTATTAATAATAAACGAGAGCTCAAGTTTACGCGTTTTATTTTATTCCAGGTTTCCTCCATAGTGAGACCTCAGAATAGCGAGCAAGCGTTCAGCCTGTGGGCATGGGAGATGATCAATAGACTGAAGCTGCACCAGTTGGACCGATCGGAATCCGTGTGTCAATATACCATTTCGAATCCGGCCGAGGGTCTCTCTTGCGTGCCTAACATGGAATCCGACTTCTTCTTAGAAGTTTTAATGAAAGGAGTACGCGAGAAACAGCCGATCGCCAGTTATGTCTCTGTGTTGATGACTCTGTGGGGTCACTCGGTGCCGCTGATCTGCGTCGAGGGTTTCAGCCAGTTGCAAACCTTGCAGTGCTACTATAAATACGAGCAGGTGCTGATATGCCTGCACCATGTAATACCGTTGTTTCTCGAGTGTCCAGATTCCTTGCTGAAGAACGACAAATTCGTCAGCTTGATCGTTCCGCTCATCAATGCCGACCGCACGTATATGAAGATAGCGAAGAATCTGATCGCCCCGGAATTTCCCGGCCCGATTCTCAAGCAATTTTCGAACATGATCGAATCTCATTTGCATCATTATAAACGGTAGGCACGCAAACGAAATGTATTTTAAAGCGATAAAAAATATAAAAATAAAAACGTTAATATGTTTCATTTTATATGTTTTATATATTTTATATGTATTATATATTTATATAATAAAATGTTTCATATTAGAGAAACTATGTATACATCTCTGTATTGTATGTAATCTATGTAACACTAAATGAACGGATAGAAAATGGAGAGTAATAATTATAGATTGGATAGTTGGAAAATAATAATTATTTCTTTACCGATGATTACAGGTATTGCTTGCATACTCCGGAACGTTTCGTGCACCTATGGCTGAATGTATTGATTCTCGTCCAGGATTGGAACAAAGATCATAACGTAATGTATTTGATGGACAGCATAATCCGTGCGGCGTTCTTTCACTTAGAAGCTAGGGCGATGATGGAGAACATGTTCCAAAATCTCTTCTGCGTAAGTTTTAAGCAGTTGCATATCGTGTATACAGTTTTCTAGAAGTTAGAAAGTTTAACAAAAAGTAGACTTTACATTTTGTTCAAAAAACTAAACAATTGTAATATTTTCTACTATAATAACTATAATTACAATTGTTTTTAATAATATATTAATTTTGTTAGCCTGCTATAGATGGAAGTAACGAGGTACGACGTATAAGAAGCGACATATAATTTATCTAATCTATGTTATTTTTCCAAGTTGATTACATCAATCTATCACATATATACTTACACAAGTAATTAAAACATTTACAGCATTTATAAATTTTATAAAATATTGGTATTACAAATTTCTAATATGCAAAAAATAATTTCTTTTACCCTTTGATTTGCAATAGATATTGTTTTATACACAGTTCAATAATATAAACTTCTGGTTATCACCAAAATATTTATACTGTGGATATGCAATTCATAGAACATATCCAATCGGGCGCCGGGATCATTTGGATCATTTCTGAGCTGGGCAACAGGATCTTCTAGCTCTGCAAGCCTCCTTGGTGGGACCGTTCAGACGATATGGCTCGCTTATCAGATTCTGTCAACAGAGCAACATGATAGGGAGCTTAAGACCGGACTGTGGCGCGAAATCCTGCGAGAACTGTCCATGCAATCCAAGATATCTTTAGACACTGCGCTCAAGGTTCAAAGTCAAGCATATAATTATTAAATGTACTTCAAATATGTAAAGTTATAACTGTTATGAAAATTATTGTAGAGAGCCTGTGCAACAGTGAAGATAACCCCGTTCGGAATAAGCAACCTGGCTATTTATCGTTGGTCCCAGCAAGCCCTTGACACGCCCATGGATCATCCAATTCTGCCTCTCTTGTGGCAAAATTTTTTTAGCTTGTTCCTCGCACGAGCTCCTATCATCCCGGGGTGATGATCATTGTCTTAACAGCAATAATTTTCATAATTTTCACTGCTCAGCTATGATACATTTTTCTTATTTTAAATTGTTCTAGATCAATGGACAAAGGCGGAGTTGGAGAAAAATTTTTTGAGGGGATGATAAATCTTAGTTACTTGAAGAAATTGAAGAAACGATTGCATGAAACGACAGAATATTTCCAAGTGAAGGGAGAAAAGGACACGGACAATGGAAAACCAATCACCGATGAACGGCGCGTGTTCTATCTCAGTGCCGCAAAGTAAGTACATACAGAGATGAAAATATTTTTCTTAAAAATATATCTTATGATTTTTATCGCAGGTTTTATAAAACATTGAGCCTTTGGCTGGAGGAGCCTCGTCTTCAGGAACCGGGACTTTATCTCCCAGCTCTGCCGCCGCAATATATGTCGCAGAGACTAATTTTGCTAATGCAAGGAGATCGAGTGAGTCAATTGCGTCAAGCCTTCAAAGCACGCACGACTTCCTGTAAGAATACCATTAATAATTTCAATTTCCAACTTCCAGAGCCTCTGGCTGGAATATGTCGACTACTGGACAGTGCAACAGAGCCAACTCAAAGCCATTTGCGAGTGGGAGCGCGCGACGTTCCGCGATCTCGATAACCAGTATCAGAGGTTCTCGCAGCCTTCGTCGAACGCCGCAGAATCGGTCGATCCCGTTTGCAGAATCTTCCGCAGGCTGAGCTCCTACGAACCGCCGGTTCCACCGCCATCCTTGAACCGCAATCAGCCGGTGCTGGGCTGCGTATCCAGGGAATGCATCTACAACTCCACTGCCGTTATCGACCTGATCAAGCCACATCTCAAAGTCATTCTTGACTATGCGCAGACCTACAGTCTCATGGTATCCGAGCACACCGCGGCGGACTGCAGCTTCCTCGAACTAGTTCCGACTCTCTACCGGATCTATGAGAACCACGTTACCTTGCACGCTCTCTGCGACCTTGCGCCAACCGGTCAAAGACGCTCTAGATTGGGCACGCCTCCCACGGTGCATTGTGCAGGCCCGGCGATCATCGAGATCACGGTGAAGAATATTAAATATTAAAAAGAGTTATTAATATACCCTTTTATGTGGTAATTTTTATCAGAATCAAAATATTTAAGCTGTTCTTCAGGAAAGTTTTATATTTTACAGGTTGAGGAAGCACATGTAAGCGAAGGCGTGGACCATATGATAACCCAGAACCGGGCCGAGTACGAGAATCTCTTGGTGAAAGCTAGTCAACCGCCACCCAGTAAGGTCACCCTGGGTTGCGTTTTCATTGATCATTTAATCGCGTAAGCAGCTTGATATGTTTTAATCTCAGAATGGTATGGAGGATTGATATATATATAACTTCCTGTTTTACTCATTAAAATTATCAATAGTAACAAAACAAATTGTACGATTATACTTTTTAATTCTCGCCTATTTTCATTCTTCAGAATGTTGGAGCACGAGTTAATCATTAGTCGCACTAATGAAAATACCGCGGTACTGCGCAAAGTACAAGAGAGCGGAGTCAAGCTGTTCTATCATCTAGTAGAATTTTATACGGAGGAAGCAGCGCTGTGTCCTCCTACGAAACAGCTTATCACTACTTGCTTGGAGAAGCTAGGTCAGGTACATATTATATTTAAAATTTCGATATTTGCCCGTACAAAAAGAGTACGAATATTTCACGTTTATCTACAAATCGTTTTTTATATCATGTATCTAATGAAACAAACGTGGTATAAATAAACTACTAAGTATCAAGTTATGAATTTATGAAATGCGGTGAATCTAAACATAAAAAGGATGGCTGTAGAGATATTTCCTAAGTATTAAGGATTCCCGTTCTGTTCTCAGTTGTTCATCAGCGGCGAGGAAGTTCAGGGTCCGCAATTACTGAGTACTATAATCCAGAGGCCTAATCTCGGAGGTCTGTTGGGACCACACTTTACTCCCGTCGCCGGAGGAGCCTCCACATTCTTGCAGATGTATCAAACCGTTGTGGACCTGTCCACCGGGTCCAATGTCGACTTGTGCTTCGTATTGCTTTCAAAGGTAAATATAATTAAATTATCATTTTCGATTACCACTGAATTATTATTGTCTCTGTTGCAGTTTGACGTCGGCAGTTGGTTGAACTATCGCCGGCCGCGATTGAGCGAGAGATCTACCTTCATAGATCTAGTTTCCAGGGCGTTGTGCAACATAGGCTTGAATCCCGAAGAAGAAAAACTGATGCTGCATGAAGTGAGTATTTGCATCAAAGTACGGATCTGATAAATTAGATGGAAATTTAATAAGATTAGAAACAATGTTACATTTATTTCGGATAAAATGATAATTATCGTTGACGCAGCTGTTTCGAAACCATCTACGACTCATTCTCCTGCACGAATTTCCCGAGCACTATGGTGAGGTATTGAGCGCGGTGTTGAGAGGATCCGAGAGCCAGAACTTGTCTCTGGACGTGTGGCGTGACTTGTTGGGAGCTCTCAGCGGCAAACCGAGGAACATTGCACCCTCCCAGAATCCTCTTAAAATCAGAGACGAAATCAGACATTACGCTACGGAGCAGAGACTGCTGTCTCGCCAAGAGGTCGGAATCTGCAATTCTACTTTGTTATTGAAAGTGATTATGCGTGTACAATGTTACTTTACTGCTTCGTTTTACATAATAATAAAACGAAACCTTGCATCCATGGTTCTATATTACTTTTGCAATTTTAGATGCACGATACCGCTGTACTTCTAAGCCGACACTTCATGAAAGAGAGACTGCAATATGGATTATACGGGCTTTATCCAAAGTACAGAAGCTACAACGAGCCATTGACCATATTTTTGGGTATGGTCGGCCACGCTCTGGTCGTATTGACGTTGCAGGCTGATCGAGGCTCGCTTGCCGATCAATGTAAGCTAATATTTCATTAGAATCTTAAAATTTCAAATATCTCATATAGCCATGTAACTATCTGAATCTAAAAAAAAAAATCTATAAAATTATGACTTTGTTGCATGTTTTCCCAGTATGCGAGAAGATCTGGCCGGTGTTAAGCGAGATGTACGCGCCATGGATCACTCCGTATTGGACGAGAAACCTGCGGGAGCCAACGGCCGCGTGGATCCAGCAATTGACGGATGACAGATCAGTGCTGCTACCGTGGATCATTACCGACGGTCCTTACGCGAATCGTACGATGACGATGTTCGCCGAGTGCGTTCGTTTCATCATCGACACCATGCCGGCATCCAGCAAGATTCTCAGCTTCGTATGGCAATTTTACGTGACCAACTATGCTCACGCATCCGTCAAGGACCATGTGCTGAATGTTGTACATGGTAACTTGTTATCTCTTCCTTGGGATCGCTTCTGCCCTGCCATCAATGATGTCGAGTTAATGATCAGGGTCATTGATCAGTATCTGCCGGACTGCCATTTGTTCCTCGGCAGCATCTTCACGTGGATCAACTGGTCTGCCTGGGTCAACGAGTTAGCCACACAGTCGCTGCCGGTCGCCGCCAGGATGCACGTTTGTCTGTTAAACTTGCTAGTGAAGCTGTCCAATGAACCAAACGTCAGGCAGGTAAGAGAGAAGAGAATAACTCGAAAACTCGGGTGATGAGGTACAATTTGAAAAAGTAAGGGAATCAAATTTTCAAGATTGGGAAGAATAGAAATTTCGAAGATATAAATTCACTAAAGTATTCACTGACTCAGATAGATGAACCTTTAGCTAATGGAATCAATGTTTCAGAACGAGAAGGCGGTGCAGCTAGTCGTGGAAGCCGAGAGCTTCTCTTGGCACTTGATCGACGCCGCGGCGTACGACCAAGTGATTAATTGGCACGTGATGAGCTGCGATCCTAGAGTGATCCTATGCTTGGGCAAGGACCAGACTCATCCTATCGATGCAGCCATCAACAAGTGAGCCTAATTCATAATGTTTATTCGCAACATAACAATTAATACCACGTCAAATATAAAAACAATTTGATATACAGCTTGCTGAAGATAGCAGCAGCCTATGATCCTACGGTGAAGCACTTCCATCCTACCACCCTGAAGAAGAGACAGATGTACGTGCGTTCCTCGATGAAGTTACTGATCAGCTGCACCACGAGGCACAAGTCCCTTCTTTCGACCAATAGCAAAGCGTTCACCAACACGTTGTCGCGAATGCTGGACGAAATGGAAATCGTTATCACCAACAGTGAGTGTTCGTGTCTCAAAACTAATCAATCCAATAGTCTAGCTTGCTCTGTCTAAATACCGTGAAGAGCCCTAGCGTCTAAAACCCTTTTTTCTTCAACTTGTTGCTGTAATATTAATTTTTTTCTACTCAGCTGTCTCTGAGTCGCAACAGGTCGCCGAGGCTGGTCTGCTAATCACTGAGCTTTTGCACTCGATCAACCAGAGCGGAGCGATGGTCGATCACCTTCGCACCAGTTGGACGACATGGTTGCTAGAACGAACTGCTAGCAGCCCGGTTCTGATGGGAGTGTTAAGAGTGATCGGAATGGCAGTCGCTTCCTCGTCCACTCTAGGTCACCTCATGGAGGCTGCCTTGGAGGCTTATTTCAAATACAGCAGTAAGCAATTGATCGACTGTTCTCGCGTGTAACGTTTCTACTCCATTTTATGCGTTAGATTTTAACTGATTTTTTTATAATTTATTACTATATTTTCTTTGTCAGTAACGGAAGACGTTCGACCTACGTGGGCGACAGTATTGATGATTCTACAGTCCGTAGTACCGCGTCAGCCGCCATTAGAGTCCGTGCTGGTGTCGGAGGGAAGATTGCTAGCCCTTTACTCCGTATTACTGAAGAGACTTCCGTCCTGCAGAGACATCCGGGAGGAAGGCATGCTTCTGATTAATTTAGTGGACTGGATTAATGCCATTAAAACCACGTGAGTGTTTCTGAAGTATAACCAAAATGAAATTCTGAATGAAATTTACATTGATAACGAATTCTGAATGAAATTTACATTAATAACGAATTTCATTTATCCAGAGATATCGTAGAGGAGAAACTGCCTTTGCTGTGGGCGAAAGCGTGCGAGCTAGCCTACAGACAGTGTCAGTATAGTGAGAACACAGTGATCGCTGCCAGAGCCTTGAAGGGATTAGCACGAGCGTTAATAACAGTAGCGGACGATGCGGGGCAAGGATGGGGTATCCTGGGAGCCATAGGACTAAGAAAAGGCTCTCAACTCACCGTACGGTAAGCTACGACGATATAATTGCTATAAAGTAGATTTGTATTCTCTTCACGCTCTTAGCAGCTTTGATTGCTGATTTTCAGGTGCAAGTTCCTGAGCCGTGCCATAGCCGTCTACTGCCTGGCGCAATTACCAGAATCCAAGTCCGATCAGCAATTAGTGAGATACACTCCACACTCGCCCGGTGTTGCACCTTCGAGATCGAACGATCCGGACACGATGGAGATTCGTCCTAGCGTAGAGGCTGTGAAAGCGATGCAGAATCTGGAGGGGCTCCTGATAAACAAGCAGTATGCAGACCTGCGGGGAGATGTGGAAAGGGCTATTAGACTCATCAGGGATTCTGCCAATTCTCTTCACAATGCTGTAGAAATCGTTGGCGCACTCACCACGGAGCTCTACAATCAAAGATATCTGCATGTGCTGACAGAGTGATACTAGTTTTATTTAGATTTAGAGCGACGGGTTGACAAAAACGAATCGTTTCAAAGCGTGATATAGGTATATGACCTCGTAAGACACTCTCGATCGTAAGTCGAATTTTCAGTCGTTGTATCTTTCAAGATTTCCAAGCGTTTCTAACTTCTCGTAATTTATTTTAATGTTCAAGAATTTTCAAGATTTGCAAAGATTTTAAAAAATCGATACTGAGTATTTTAAGGAAATTCTGTGATTTAATCACTTAAAAGCTTGCTAAATTAAATGCCCATTATCACGTAAATTTCACCAAATGACGCGTTTAAATTGAATGCTATAACTCGTATCGATTCTAAAGATTGAGGTTGCATTGTGATTATTCATTTATATATTACAATCATATCCCGATCTCTGAAGATGTACAATCATAATGTAATTTTAATCTTAAATTTAATCGCGTAATATGAACTTAGGATAAGTCGCGTATCTTTTGCCTTATTGTTTAAATTTTTTTATATTTGCACCGATCTAGTCACGAAGTACTTTTTTTAATTTGAGACTTTGTAAAACTTAGCATGCATTCAATTTAAACGATCACGTAGATAGTTATGTCGATAGTATAATTAAAATTAGATTTAAGGACGCAATTGTTGTCACATTTAATGTGAACTTAATTGTGTATTCGACTCGCATCATCGATGCTTTGGTACCTGCGTACATAAATTCTGTGTTGAACCAATGAAATATTTGATTTATATTTACATATCACATTAGGATTCTGATAATGTCATTAACTTACAAACACGACTATAATTCATCATAATTTCGTTGCTAACATCGCATGAAATCATTCAAGAGCAGTAGCTATCAAGAAATCGTTAACGAATAAAGAGTTGATTATTAAATTAATGAATTCTTCAAGTCAAGTCGTCATGAAACTACTTACTACAAATTAACGCAAGGCTTACCTTTACAAGATACCTTAAAATTGATATTACAAGGTTTATAAACAATTTTCGTTATATTAACTTACAGATAATTGCAATATTTTGTCGAAATTTTAGAATATCTTAAGTTCGAAAAATCCATAATACCAGAATTCTTTACCTAATATTATCTCATAAAAAATGTTATTAAGTTTTACTTATTGCTACAAGAGACAGTCCAAAAATTTAATTTTCGCAATTCATAGGTTTTAAAGATTCGCAGGACCATCTTCAACATTATGACCTTAATCTAACGGAGTTGAAAACAAACTATGTCCGATTACAAACTTCATTTAAAATTGACAAGTCTCTTTGTTCCTTAAAATCCAATTATCATAACTATTATACTTTTAAAACGCTACGACGTGCATCCCGTAGCAGTTGCGAGGTCTCGCCGAGCGGGTACTCGATCAGCTCGCACCCGAAGTGATCGCTGAAAGCGTTCTTGAAAATCGGCAACACATCAGAGACAGTAACGTCCATGTTCAGCTCCTTAGAGATGCTGGTCACGCCTTTGCCTTCGATGCCGCATGGCACGATATGGTCGAACCACTTGAGATCGGTGTTGCAATTAAGCGCGAGACCATGGGTGGTGACGTAACGGCTGCCATGGATGCCTATGGCACAGATCTTGCGATCGCCGACCCAGACCCCAGTGTCCGGTGAGGTCTCGGCCTTGATGCCGAATTCGGCGCATACGCGGATCACCATACGTTCCACTTCGTGCACGTACCACCTGACGCTGGTGTGGAACTGCTTCAGATCGAGCACCGGATAGGCCACCAGCTGGCCGGGTCCGTGGAAAGTGATCAGCCCGCCGCGATTTGTCCTCCAGAATTCTGCACCGAGGCTCCTCAGCTTCCTCTCCTCTTCCTCCGTGTATCCCTTGTTCCTTATTCCTACCGTGTACACAGGCTCATGCTCCAAGAGGACTAGCGTGTTTGCCGTTTCGCTCACACGCTTGTGATGGTGATCTGATAAAGTTTTCTGCAATTGTAGACCGACTCCGTACGGCAAGCGGCCAGCCAACAAGACTTTTACCACTCGTGAATGCATCTTGACGACATTCGATGTTAAATTGGATGTTCACAGCCGAGAAGCGAGAATTTCGTTAGATTGAAGGATTCAATCGGTTCTCGACATTCTGATTCTCCTTCTCTATGGCGACAGTTTTCTCGTGAATTGTAGTGTAAAGCAGAAGAGACACCTGCGTATAAAGAAGTTGTTATTTTGACGTAGATGATTCTTTCGCGCTTTTCTTTTCTCTTTCTCATCTTTTCACATTTTTAAATTAATCACGATCTTAATAATCTCACAGCGGCTTCAACGTTCTATTATTTTAATGTTTTCATATTGCTTTTGAAACTACATAATTTTATTGTTAACATCAGTGTCTTTCACCGAACGTACATAAGCATCCGTGGCTGCGTAACTTTTCTGGGCGTCACTGAGGGGTTGCACATGCCACCTGCTCATTCGCACCTTGGGATCTTTGCTGATTTTCTTCTTCAACTAGACATGAAGATTTTGCTCCAGTTTCAATCTCGCCTATCGATTCTCCACAAAACAACGTGCAAAATAAAAATATAATACCAAGTAAGCGGTCAATCTTTCCAAACTCCAACGGCAGGATCGATTCAAGACTTGATTAGCGTAGGGCCCGCAGTCCAGACAATTATTCTCTACCACTTTTTGAGCAGGAAACTCTTTGAAATCTCTCCCGAGCTTCCTCACATCGCTGCAAAATATCAAACGCGTGATTATTGATTACATATTTTTTTTGCTGAACGAAGAAACGCACGCGAAAAGAGCGCGGATAACGCCAAATGAAATTTGTAAAATAATGGAACAATGACTACTGCTGACTATATAGAATAACAGATAACACAATATATTTAAATAAAGAAAATAATATATGTATATATACCGGTAGTTTCGATATTACGGCGCATATGGAATTCATTGGTTCTCGATAGATAAACTGAGTTGAACGCGATAACGCGGAGTCCCTCGTTTGATGCAACTTAATCGCATGTGGAGAACTCGACGCAGCAGGACAGTGACGCGCGCTCGTGATGTCAGTTTTATAGGAAATTATTTTCTCCAAAAAAAAAAGAATAAACAGAATTTCACTCTTTAGTAATTACACTGACTTTTTAATATTGACACCGACGAGCTTGACCTTCGGGTGACACAGGAGTTCGACGAACGCAGCCGGGAGCTTCCTCAGCGAGTAGACGTACAAGAGATAACACACACTGTTGTCCAGGCAAATCTGCGCCAGTGCCGTTTTCCCGCTGCCAGTTTGGAAGCTGAACGGCCACTCCAGATCGAAGCCTACCGGTACGATCTCCCTCTCGCTGCGCCTCACTTCTTGTCTGGAAGGAAGTTTAGAGAGAGAGAGACACGTAAAATATCCACAAGTTACTTGAATAGTTTCGTCTCGAATTTTCTTCGTTTCTATTAGACCCTGCTGCCTTCGTAGATTCTTTCTACCTCGTCGCGCTTCGGAGAAATATTCCGCACTCACATGAGATCGTCACAGATCTGGGCACAGCTGAAGAAGTCGTCAGCGTACTGAATGCGTCCCTTGAAGACAATCGCAGGCAAAGTGTTGACGTCGGGCTCCCTTTCGGGTTTCGGCTGCTCCAACTTCTTCTGCAGAAATCAATAAGTTTTATCTGTAGTGAGATAGAATCGGAGTAATACAACATTAAACATGAAAATAAATGAATACCGGCTCAAATAAGCGGTTTTCGGAGTCAACAATACTTTCTCAAATAAAATGTAGAACGCATTATTTTGTATTTTCTAATAGCGAGAGGCGTGTATACACAATTACACCCATATATTTAAATATTCAAGCCTTTATGAAGTTCACCTTGAAAGTAAGAAAAGTTCCACCTTTTTCTCTTTCAGCGGAAAAATATAAAACAGTGGCCGGGGACAATGTATATCATCCCAGACGAGTGATCGTCAAAGTACAACTAGTGAATCGAATTCAACAGACTATTTTTATGCAACACATAATAGGAACAATAAAATTCACAAAGCTCTGGCGCGAAATCACAATTGTCTCTAAATGATTTTAATTTTTTAATTTGTGTTGCGACATAAGAAATTTGTAGAAATTAAAAATTTCCTCCCTCGTTATATAAGTATACCTACATTATTCCCTTGGCCCATAAACTCGAAAGTACGTACTATTTACCCTTTAACAAGTCGACCCTTATTCTACACAGAAAGCAATCTCCAAATTATTCCCAACCGATGCGTTCAACACGAGTTTAAGTTGGAAAACAGGAAACGCTCCGTTTTCCTTACTCGCACGTTCACGCGAGCTCGAGCCTCTCGTTGCGCCAACGGCCGCCGTCGACCATTCGATCGTCGCAACGCACCTTTAGATGTTGCGGCAGGTTCCGCGGCGAGCGACGCAGTTTCGCGGCTTCCTCGGGCACCTGCAACACCCGTGGATCACGTTCAGGATTACGTGACACGACGAGAAGGGGCACTGGCGCGTAACTAACCTCTTTCCTGCCGAGGCGGGTGGCACGTGTCGTCATCGCGATGGTGGAGAGAAGGCGGGCAGACTCGTCGACGCCGCGGGACGGATCCGCTGTGCGGGAGAATCGGCTTCGGTGTCCGGGATCGCTCGTGGACGCACGCTTCATCCTGTCGCCGGGAGTCCGGTGCCATAATGTCGGCTCGCGAATCCGCGCGCCGGTTTCCCGCCAAATTCATCACCTGGCGAACAGCTGACGCCACGACATGTTTACACGTCAAGCTTTCAGGAGCGGCGGAAGAGGGGGGGGGGGGAAAGGGGGAGAGAGAAGGGGGAAAGCCGTGGAGGGAAAAAGAGATGCCGGTTGTGGGAGGAAAAGATCTACGGAGGTCTCCCTGTAGAAATATTTTACTCAAAATATAGTGAAATGTTCACTGAAATGTATACATATACAGGGTGCTATATATATGTAATACCCGCATCAACGCTTATTGTAGGATAGAGTGGACTAAACTAAGTCGAAAACCTCTACCATTTTGCAATTTTCGCAAAAGTCAGCGAGTTATTAATTATTAAAAATCGCTGTTTTAGGCCGGCCCACTG